AGGATATTGTGAATGGGTAGTTTTTCTCATTTCCATTTCAGAGGATTTGTCACTGATATACAGGAATGCCTTTGATTTATGGGTGTTGATTTTATATCCTGCCACTTTGCTGAATTCATTTACTAGTTCTAGAAGTTTCTTGGTAGAGCCTTTTGGGTCTTCTAGGTATAGAATCATATCATCAGCAAATAGTGCTAGTTTAAGTTCTTCTTTTCCTATAGTTATTCCTTTTATTTCTTTCATCTGTCTAATTGCTATGGCCAGTGCTTCAAGAACTATGTTGAATAGAAGTGGTGAGAGAGGGCATCCCTGTCTTGTTCCAGATTTTAGAGGGAATGCCTTCAATTTTTCTGGATGAGGATTAGTGTAGATAGCTTTTACAATGTTGGGGTAAGTTCCTGTTATCCCTAGCTTTTCTAGTGTTTTGAACATAAAGGCGTGCTGTGTTTTGTCAAATGCTTTTTCTGGATCAAGATGGTCATATGGTTCTTATCTTTAAGTATATTGATGTGATGAATTACATTTATTGATTTTCCTATGTTGAACCAACTTGCATCCCAGGGATGAATCCCACTTGATCATGGTGCACGATCTTCTTGATATGTTTTTGTATCCAATTTGCCAGTTTTATTGAGGATTTTTGCATCTAAATTCATTAGAGATATTGGTCTGAAGTTTTCTTTCTTTGTCTTTGTCTGGTTTTGGAATGAGGATGATATTGGCCTCGTAGAATGAATTTGGAAGTACTCCCTCTTTTTCTATTTCCTGAAATAGATTGAAGAGTATTGGTATTAGTTCTTCTTTAAAGGTCTTGTAAAACTCTGCTGTTTCTGTCTGGTCCTGGGCTTTTCTTTGGTTGGTAGTCTTTTGATGGCTTCTTCTATTTCCTCACTTGATATTGGTCTGTTTAAGTTGTGTATATCTTCCTGATTCAATCTGGGCAGATCATATGACTTAAGGAATTTATCAAAGCCTTTACTATCTTCTATTTATTGGAGTATAAGATTTCAAAATTATTTCTAATTATCTTCTGTATTTCTGTAGTGTCTGTTGTGATATTGCCTTTTTCATTCCATATGCTAGTAATTTGGGTTCTCTCTCTTCTCCTCATTAGCATGGCTAGGGGTCTGTCAGTCTTATTTATTTTTTCAAAGAACCAACTTTTAGTTTTGTCAGTTTTTTTAGTTTCTTTTATTTCAATTTCATTGATTTCAGCTCTGATTTTAAATATTTCTTGCCTTCTATTGCATTTGCTACTGATTTGTTCTTCTTTTTCTAGGGCTTTGAGATGTAGTGTGAGATCATTTATTTGTTGGCTTTTTCTTCTTTTAAGGAATGAACTCCATGGAATGAATTTTCCTCTTAGTACTGCTTTCATAATGTCCCAGAGATTTCGATATGTTGTGTGTTTGTTTTCATTTATCTCTAAGAATTTTTTAATTTCCTCCTTGATGTCTTCTGTAACCCATTGTTCATTTAGTAGTATATTGTTCATTTTTCATGTGATGTAGGAATTTTTCTTCCTTATTTTATCATTGATTTCCAATTTCATTCCATTATGATCAGATAAAATGCATGGTAATATCTCTACTCCTTTGTATTTGCTAAGAGTTGCCCTATGGCATAATATATCGTCTATTTTTGAAAAGGATCCATGTGCTGCTGAGAAAAAAGTGTATCCGCTTGATGTTGGTTTATATATTCTATATATGTCAATTAAGTCTAAGTTATTAATTGTGTTATTGAGTTGTATAGTTTCTTTATTCAACTTTTGTTTGGAAGATCTGTCCAGTGGTGAGAAAGGTATGTTAAAATCACCCTTGATTATTGTGTTGTGATCTATTTGTCTCTTGAACTTGAGAAGAGTTTGTTTGATGAACATAGCTGCACATATATATTTGGGGCATATATATTAATGATTGTTCTTGTTGGTGAATGCTTCCCTTTAGCAGTATGTAGTATCCTTCTTTATGCCTTTTGATTAACTTTGGCCTGAAATCTATTTTATTTGATATGAGTATGGACACCCCTGCTTGCTTCCAAGGTCCATGTGAGTGGTGTGATTTTTCCTAACCTTTCATCTTCTGTTTATGTCTGTTCATGTCATTCCTATCAGATGAGTCTCCTGTAGGCAGCATATTGTTGGATCTTTTTTTAAATCCAGTCTACTAGCCTGTCTTTTGATTGGTGAGTTTAAGCCATTAACATTTAGGGTTACTGTTGAGATATGGTTTGTACTTCCAGCCATGTTTGATTATTTTTGTTATTTAACTTGATTTGTTTTTCCTCTTTGATTAGTTTTACTGTACTACCTCCCACTGTTGATTTTCGTTGTTATTTTTCATTTCCTCTTCATGTAATGTTTTGCCAAGGATGATTTGAAGCTCCAGTTTTCTTGATGAAAATTCTTTTAACTTTTGTTTATCGTGGAAGGTTTTTATTTCATTATCAAACCTGAAGCTTAATTTTGCTGGATACAAGATTCTTGGTTGGAACCCATTATCTTTCAGCATTTGAAATACATTGTTCCAGTATCTTCTAGCTTTCAGAATCTGTGTTGAAAAATCAGCCATTAACCTAATTGGTTTACCTCTAAATGTCATCTGCTTCCTTTCTCTTGTGGCTTTTAAAATTCTCTCCTTGTTCTGTATGTTGGGTATTTTCATTATAATGTGTCTTGGTGTGGATCTCTTGTGGTTTTGTACATTCGGTGTCCTGTAGGCTTCTAGGATTTGGATTTCCGTTTCATTCTTCATGTCTGGAAAGTTTTCTAAAATTATTTCATTGAACAGATTGCTTATTCCTTTGGTTTGGACCTCTATATCTTCCTCTAATCCAATAACTCTTAAATTTGGTCTCTTTATGTTATCCCAAATTTCTTGGATGTTCTGCTCGTGGTTTCTTATCAGCCTTTCTGAGCAGTCTAGACTCTTTTTGAGATGATATACTTTGTCTTCATTGTCTGATGTTCTGACTTCTAATTGTTCTACTCTGCTGGTGATACTCTCATTTAAGTTTTTAATTTGGTTTACAATTTCCTTCATTTCCAGGATTTGTGTTTGATTTTTTTTGTATAACCTCTGTCTCCCTGTAGAGTTGATCTCTTGCTTCTTGGATTTGTTTATCTAATTCATTGTCAAAGTGATCTTTCATTGTCTGCATTACTGTCTAAGGTCTTCCTTGAGACTCCAGATCATTTTAGGCATGTATATCTTGAAATCTTTATCTGACATTCTTTCTGCTGTAGTTTTAACTCCTCTATTATTGAGTTGTCCTGCATTGTTTGTGGTCCTTTTTTCCCTTGTTTTTTTTCATGTTGCTCATGTTTCTTTACAGCTCTGTGTGACTGTTGTGTTCTTATTTTTCTCCTATAGATTTGTATTGCTCTTGTATAGTTCTGAGAGCTCTCCTTTGTGATGGGAGATAATGTCTAGAGATGTTGGATTCAATTGTAATTTAAAATAAATTCATTAGCTTCATAAAAGGCTTATAGATTCTGGTGGTGTACAGAGAACTGAGGGTCGGGTGTAGGACTTTAGTGGGAAAGATGTGAGGGTATGGGGGTTAATACATCTTAGCTACTTTGGAGAACTCTAATGAAGTTATTAACAGGAGAATAGACAGGAGGTATTTTAGGGTAGCTAAGTATGTGGGAGGACAATAAGAAGCATAGAAACATTCACCTATTTGCATTTAGTAAATTACACGTAGTAGAAATAGTAACGGTTGGGAGAGGAAGCGAAGGAGAAAGAAAAGAAGAAGAAAAAGGGGGGGAAATGATAAGAAAAAGAAATGAAAAAAGAGGAAAAGAGAGAAGAAAAAGATAAAAAGAAAAAAGGAAAGAAGGAAACAGAAAAAAAATGCACTCTTAGAATTCTGTTTTCTTCTCTTCCAGTAGGTGTCTTTGTGAATTCCAGGTTGAGTCTCTGCCCTCAGGTGGAGGAAGCGATCCTTGTGAGGTGGCTCTCCCTCCCCTGCCGGGTGCCTCTCCAGTCCCTGTCTCTTTGGGTTGTTCTGGGTCTCTATTCCCCTCACTTCTCCTGCCCTCTAGGCCCCAGTGACTGGAACTCTTCTCCATAGTCCTGGGTTCACTCTGGGCTTGTGGCGCTCTGTGCTCCTGATCAGCTGAGAACTACCTCTGTGTTGGGTAGTCACCAAGTCATCACAGCTGTGGAGACGGGGAGTTGGAAACCGGCAACCTGTTCTGTCTTATTCCCTCTGATAGCCATGCTCACTGAGAGCTGGCAAGAAATGTTTTGGGTTATCATAGCTGTGGGAGGAGGAGTTGGAGATCAGGCACCTTTTCAGTTTCACTCGGCTCTGATATTCACGGCCACCGAGAGCTGGCGAGAAAGGTTTTGAGTTATCACCGCTGGGTAGAGGGGGTGCTGGAAATCACACACCTGTTCCGATGCCAAAAACTCGCTGCCTGTTACAACCACCCAAAGCTGAGGAGGTAGATTTTCCAAGATGGCAACTGCCCATTTCGGCATCGGGGTGTCCAGTGAGGAGGAGGGAACTGGGCTATTTCTCCAATAAGTCCAGACTTCAGTCCTCCTCCGGTGCCCTGCAGAGACGCGGGTCGCAGTCTGGCACACTCTAGCTCCAAAGGATCTGTAACTCTGTGTCCCTATGCTGCCAGAACTCTGTGGGACTCAACTCCACCCGTCTGCTGCGGGTTCCCGGGCTGCGCTGCTGGCCGGTTTCCTCGCCTGGAGGGACTCAGATTTTCTCACATTCTGGGCCGCACTTGTAACCAGCCACTGTTTAAAATCCTGTCACAGGCTCCATGAAGCTTAAATTCGTGAAAGGGCGCCCCTATGAGGGAGAGTGTCTGACCATTCACTCGGAGTCACACCAGTAACGAGTTCTCCTCTACTCCGCCATTTTGGAAGTCTTCTATTGCTTCTTTATGAAACTTTAAAATAGCGTATATGTCACTGAAGTTTTTCTGTTTTACATTTGTGCTTTATCTCTGTCTTCATGTGTGTGTATTTTAGGGTCAGTGATGAAAAGGATGCACGAGGCTATCTTCAGGCCTTAGCTTCTAAAATGACTGAAGAATTGGAAGCATTAAGAAGTGCCAGCTTGGGTACACGAGCAACTGTAAGCTCTGCCATTTTGCATAGAAGCTTATCATATTAGATTACAAGGCTCAAAAAACACTATCATAAATCTGATTATTTATGTCAGTTCTCCTAGGCGTTAGCCTGCTGTGAGTTTTCAAGAGAAATCAGTTAGTTTAAGTCTTTACCAGTTTAGGAAAACAACACATAAATGCTTAACAGTAGTCCATATGAATAGTCATTATTGGAAATAACTGTTAGGAAATATTCATTTGTATGTGAATATTGACCGTTATTTCTGAGTTTAATGAAAAGCATATTTTTGAAAATAATATTTCTATTCTAAGTGAAAATGGTTGGTGCTTATAAGTAGCTTTCAAATTACTTGGATTATTAAGTTTAAATGTTTAAAATAGGGAGCTAAAAACACACTCTTTTTACTTTATAGGATATGCCCTGGAAAATGCGTCGTTTTGCAAAACTGGATATGTCAGCTAGACTGGAATTGCAGTCAGCTCTGGATGCAGAAATAAGAGCTAAACAGGCCATCCAAGAAGAGCTGAATAAAGTTAAAGCAGCTAACATCATAACAGAATGGTAAGATTGAAAAAATCTAGTCCAAGTAGAATCTTTTCTAAGGTTTTTAATAATTATTTAGAGAAATATTACATGTTTGCTTATTTGCCTAGTGCTTAAAAAAAGATTTGAAATAGGATCAGATGATTTCAAGCTCTGTAAGTAGTGATAAGGGATTTTTTTAATGTATTTTTTAGTTGTTGATAGGCTTTCATTTTATTTATTTACATGTGGTTCTGAGAATCGAATCCAGTGCCTTACTCATGCCAGACAAGTGTGCTACCGCTAAGCCACAGCCCCAGCCCCAGCCCCAGTAAGATTTTTATACAGCCTCATTTTCCTCTCGCTTGTCCATAAAGTAGAATTAATAATATTTCATTGTTTATTTTCCCCTTATTTGTAAAGTTTAGTTAACTCTCATAGTTTATTAATAGAAATTTTTCTCATGTTCAAGAATATCATATTTGTTCTGGACACACCAACTCAAACCTATTATCTCAGTGACTTGAGCGGTTGAGGCAGGAAGATCAAAAGCTCGAGGCCCATCTCAGCAACTTAGTAAGACACTGTCTAAAGTTTAAAAAATAATAAAAAGGGCTGGAAATATAGCTCAGTGGTAGAGCACTCCTAGGTTCAGTTGCAGTATTGGGGAGTGGGAGGAGAAGGAATATCATATTTTCTAGTTGTAGTGGCACAAACTTGTAATCCCAGATACTTGGGAGACTGAAACAAGAGGATCAAGTTCAAGGCTGTCCTGGGCAACTGAGAGACCTTGTCTCAAAGTAAAATTTTTAAAAAGACTGGTGGTATAGCTTAGTGGTAGAGCACTTGTCTGTCATGTTCAAGGATCTTGGATTAATCCCTAATACCACAAATAAAAAAATATATTTGTGTGAAATTGCAACATATGGTCAGAACAAAATAGAATTATTTGAAAATTGTGGTCTCTACCCTTGGTCTTTTACATGTAAAGATTCTGTTGACGGTAAATTTCATAAGGGCAGAATGTCTTTTGATTATACTTATTTTTCATGTTTCTATATTTCCTAAAAAATAGAATCTCCTAGTCTTGGAGGCTGTTAACTAATGAACACATTCCCTCTATTGTCACAACAGTAGAGAAAATCATACTCTGAATATATAAATGATAAAATTAAAAATTATAATTGGATTGGATATAAATATGATTCCAAAATCAGTTAGGGGCTGAGACTGTGGTTTAGTGGTACAGCACTCACCTAGCATGCACGAAGCCCTGGGTTTGATTCTCAGTATTACAAAAAATACAACAAAAAAATTGTAAGCTTGGACTGTGGTTGTGGCTCAGTGATAGAGCACTTGCCTAACATGTGTGTGGCACCGGTTTCAATTCTCAGCACTGCATATAAATAAATGCATAAAATAAAGATCCATCAACATTTTAAAAATTTTCTTTTTAATTAAAAAAAAAAAAAGTGTAAGCTGGACATGGTGGCACATGCCTGTAGTACCAGCAGCTTCAGTAGCTGAGGCAGGAGGATCACAAGTTCAAAGCCAATCTCAACAATTTAGCAAGTCCATAAGCAACTTAGTGACACTCTGTCTGAAATTTAAAAAAAAAAAAAAAACACAGATTAGGGATGTGGCTCAGGGGTTAGTATTAAAAAAAAAAAAAGTCAGTATAGGTGATATAGAGGAAGAAAACAAAGTTCACATTTCAAATGAAACCATAAACACAAAGATCCTTTTGGTGCTCAGAATACTAAAAGTTCCAAAAGCAAGAGAAGAAATATAGGGCTATAAATTCACTTTTTGATGGTGTGATCACAGCCTTAGACTTTAAACTGCACCCATTAATATTTTGAATCAAATCAAAGGCCAGATATATGGCACCACTGTTGAATTATGAACTTTTTGTTATAAATGACACACATGAATTATGTTTTACTTACATGTGTTTATGTGGCGTTAAAACAAACAGAAGTTTTTCTGAAGAATATGAATGAAACACAGCATAAAGACCTACTGAGTGTCATTCTCTGTGTTGTAATTTGGAAAAAATATAATCTTCCCGTGCCCAGGACACAGAGCTTACACTTAAAATATCCATAAAGCAGGTATATAATCCAAATTGATAATTATAAACTTACAAATATGTTCTACTTTTATGGTTGTTTATGAATAAAATATAACAACTCTAAAATCAACTGTTTTTATAACATTTTTAATGTTAGTAATGTAGCTCAGGGCCAGGAAACTTTTTCTATAAAGGACCAGGTAGTAAATATTTTAGGTTTCAAGGACTATATAGCCTCCCTCACAGCTACTCAACTGTGCTATTATAGTGTAAGGACAACTATAGTCAGTACTGAAATGAATGATTCTGACTGTGCTCTAATAAAACTTAATTTATATAATAGCAGGTGACAGGCTGTATTCGTCCTGCCTAGAGTGGTTTGCAGTACCATGATTTAGCATGACTGACATTTAAACTAATTTAGTGAGCTTCATACAAGATGCCTCCCTAGTCAGCAATAAAAAATTAATGACATGTTTTCTTTGTTTTTCTTATTTAAGTAAACTAAAAGATTCAGAGAAGAAGAACTTGGAACTCCTATCAGAAATCGAACAACTGATAAAGGACACTGAAGAGCTTAGATCTGAAAAGGGTATGGGAATGTGTGTTTGCATCAATCAGGACTTACTGTTTTGTCATGAATATATCGTATTACAGAAGAGTCAGCTTATTGTGTAGGTGGGAAAATTGTTCACATGTGCACTCAGGAACATGTGCATGTGTATATGATGCACACACACACACACACACACACACACACTGGTTTTGAGTCATTTTGTTTTACTTACTAGACATTGTTTTAAGAGGTTATAGTAACAGAAGAAGTCACTTTCCCATAAATTTACCTGTTCAAAAATGTTATCTATTTAACATTTTGGTCACTGAAAAATTATACTGTATAATACTCTGAAATGTTACCATCTAAATTAATCAGTCCAATAGTGGCAGTGTGTGTTCAGAACATGGTAAGGAGACTTCAACAAGTATTTATTTGTGCCTAGAAGGTCCAAAATCTTGAGCGGGATTCACTTTCAGGAGAGTTGAGAATACAATGTATGAAAGAACTAATGAGCAATCTAATTTGTTATTAATTGGGCAATATAATAATGAAGAATTATTTTGACATTTCAGTGCCGCCTTCTAGTTTGATGCTTAATGTTGCTGGCCCTATGGGATTTCCCAAATTTATTACCATTTTCTTGAAAACATTACTTTTGTATTTTTTCCGTTAATGTGGAAGCTAATAGTGCTTGATAGCTTTATTACATGCATTTCTTAAACTTTCTTTCCATAATATACATATTAAGAATGTGAAGGTTTAGTAAAAATAAATTCGGAATGTTATTTTTCTAAATAATGGGATATTTTACATTCAATTTTCCAAAATTCATTTTCCTAATAAAGGCTATCACTGAATACTTCACTAATTAATGGGGTTTATATTAAGCCCATGGGTTTCTTTCTCTGTCATTCCCCAGTGCCATTACATACTTAGAGATAAAGCTGGTTGGGTCTTTGAATCCAATCTAAAGTTGTGGAATACAGAGAGCAGTCACATAGAGGAGCTCACGACAAAGCTATTTAAAGAAGTTGATGTTCAATAATTTTTTGTTGGTGGAATTCCTTACTGAAAAAGAGAAAGAAGGAGCCTCCAAAAAGTGAATGGGAACTCAAATTAGGTACATGAGCTATCATGCTAAAATGAGAACCAGGCTGGGTTTTAATTAATGAAGAGTAAAAAGAAGAAACATTTTTTAGTGGAGAGATAAAAATGAATACATAAGACCTGGTTCACTTGTGGCCCTAAAGCCAACTTAATAGGAAAGAAACCAGTGCAGAGTATGATTTACATCAGATGACATTGACTATATCATTTTAAAATTAGTCCTAAACTTGAAAAAGAAAAGTCTTAAATTTATCACATTGTTTTGAAGAGATGTTAACTAAAGCTTTATTGTTTGGATTTTGATTACTGCAAAAATAAAGTTTCACTGTTATAATGTATTATAGCTGCTTAAATATTATAAGGTGACGTTTATGAAATGAAGACAAAGACTTTTAAAAAAAAATGCCTTGTTTACACCTATATCCCCAGAATCTAGGACAGTGTCTGGTACATAATAGTCTCAACAAATATTTATTGACTGAATAAATTTCTGAACATATTGACCCATCTGGTAATTATGGTATATAATTAGAAGATAATATGGGGAAACACATAAAATGTCATTTCTTAAAGATATAGAAGTCAAAATTGTGTGATTGCTTGTTTTCTTGTTTTATCCTTCCTAGTATTTATCATCATTTTTATGTTTTAAGGAGTATTTTAGAGGGCTGGGGATGTGCCTTTAGTAGTAGTGTTTGCCTGGCATGCTCAAGGCCATGGATCCCCAGCACCCAGAGAAAAAAGAAGAATAAAAAAAATTATTTTGAAAATTATGTGTTTAAAGTTAATATCATAGCCACAAGATATGTATGAATTTTTTAATTCATCTGAGAAAAACTGGAGTTTGGATTCATCATTCTTTTAGTTGAATAATATCTGAAGTCAGATTGACTAACTTTTTTTCATAATTAAATACATTTGTTTTATGACTGCATTATTTTCTTATTAAAGATTACTTACACTTGTGCTATATGCTTGGTACGAGTATTTCAAACAGAAACCTCATTCGGTGATAAATTAGCTTAGAAAAATCACACATAAACAAGCACCTACATTCTCTCTAGACTATCAAAAGATTTAATGTGGGTTTTTTAATGATGTACCAGATAGAAAAAGAAAGAAATCCCATAACAAGTAACTCAAGAACAAATATTTGATAGAAGTAGATGTTATTTAATTGTTGAGTGGTAGTCTAGGAAAAAATAATGTAATTTGGCTTTTCAAATATGTAGCATTAATAATATTGATCAGCTTTGAAATATGATATTTGAGAATAGATTTAATGATTGAGACAGGAAAGGTTATCCATAAAAATTAGTATTGATTGTTCTAGTTTTAAAAAAAGTTGCTGCTGTTTTCTAGGTATAGAGCACCAAGACTCACAGCATTCTTTCTTGGCATTTTTGAATACGCCTACCGATGCTCTGGATCAATTTGAAGTAAGTACTGAACTTTTCAGGTATCCTTTGTAGTCAATTTAAAATTCACTTTGTGATTTAAAATTTATTTGCAATAAAACTGTTTTATTGCATCTCACATAAAAGGATCTAGAATCCTATAAAACAGTAACATAGTAGGGAAGTAATATGTTCTGGATTCTTATGGAAAGTATAATCACACTTGTATTTAACTGAACATCCAAGAAAGGTGTAAATATGAAAGTCATTGCTAGTTTTAAAAGCATTTTGAACTTCCCTAAGAAGCAATAAAAGCAGAACAAATACCAACTTTTAAAATAATTTTGACACTTTTTATTCCAAAGCACAGAGCCACAGTAAAAAAAAATAAGTGAAAAATTTGAAGCTCACAATAGTGTATTGGTGTTTCTTGTTGCAAATCAGTTCATTTTTTAAAAAGTATATAAAGAAATGCTTCATGTTAAAAGTATTACATCCACTGTTAGGCAGATTTCACAATAATGAATGGTGATTATATAATACTTGTCATTCCTTATCTTATTTAAATTTTTGGCTGAAAAAAATCAATGTCATGCTATAAAGTATATTTTTGTCTCAAAAAATTTAAGTTGGTAATGTTTTTATTCAGCAAACCAGAATCATGTGTCTATATGCAAGGAGCTGTTCTAAGTGCTGGAGATACAGTAGTGACCCAAAGTGACAAGTCCCCCTGACAAAGAGGTTACATTCTGGTGGGAAGAACTAGAAGCAGAGATTCTGTTACTTACTTTTAGTTGTTATTTTCATAAGTGCTTATATTTAATTTTATTATTAATGATTTGCCATGAGCTTCATTTTATTATACTTTGGGCATGGTGTATGAATTATATTTCATTCCTTTGGAAAAAGGAAAAAGAAACACTCTAAAAAAGTAATTAATGAATCATGAAAGTTTCTTGAAAACAATGACAGTGACTGCTTTTCTCATTTATTTATTTGAATTAATGTCATTTGCCTTTCAATTGTTTTACAAAATTTTTGATTTATTATTTGTTCCTATTAAATTGCTTCATCCATATTTTCTATTTTTTTATTGCTGTATTCGTTAAATAGGATTCCTTTTCTTCTTCCTCATCCTCACTGATTGATTTTTTGGATGACGTAAGTCTTTGATTTTCAAACCAATGCATCCTTCAGTAAAAGAGATCAGTGAATTTATATGAAGAGTTTGTTTAGTAATGCAGTCAGTTTTAGAAATACTACGTGTGTAAATATATCTGTGAGCCAAAATGTGCTTCCTTCTTATATATAATGGATAATTATTATTAAACATAAAGTAAAAAATATACTTCAAAAATGCTTTGACCTTTGGAAAATCTCTATTTCCATTCTTTACAATTCTAAAGACTAGAATTATTTAATTATTGTCACTGTATGTGTAAATAATTGCTTATTTTTATTTTTCATGATTTCTATTTTACTTTCCCTTTTGTTTTCAGCACTTTACTATTTATTTCTATGTTGGTTGAAATAAACCTATGATGGTATAATCAGAAAAAAATTGCCATTTTTTATAAGTTAAATTCTCCAATAGATATTATTATAACATAATAAGAAGGCATCAATCTATTTTTAGAGCTGACAGAATTTCTTTTCTAATGGGAGCATAATTTTACTTAGCATCTGTACTAAATGCTTTATAAATTGACTGCATTATCATTTCTCTCCTAAATTAATTTTATACATTTAATAATTTGGAAGTTCCTATTAACTGTGTATGATACATTCATTCTCTTTAAAGTACTGTATGTTTTATACATTTTCTCTATTCCACATTAAATGCACAGTAATTCTGTTGTATAGCATTTTGTTATCTTGTTGAACATTGGTTCTTCATAGAAATGAGGAAATACAATTAATTCAAATGAAAAATTATGCATAAAACCAGAAGATATTCTTTAAATGTATAATTTCTTATATTTTCTTACGTAGAATATTATTGTTAGAAAGTATTTAGCATGATTTTCCATTAAAGGAACTTGTTGATCTGGATTTTTTTCAAATTATTGAACAAAAAAATTGATTTTTGGTAAGTTGGAAATATTGATGCCAGAGCTTACATGTTTCCATTCTAAGTGGACACTTGTTCCTCAGAAAAAGAATTGTTCTGGCTAATTCTATAGTGTAATCAAAAAGGTTACTCTCTTGATATACAATGGTACAGCATGTTATAATCTGCCCTTAAAATACTCAGTAGGGTATTTCCATACAGATATTACTCAGAAAGAATGAAAAGGAAGTTTGAGTAAATTACTTAGGTCTCTCCATTAGAAACCCGTTTTCATTTTTCTAAGAAAAATGGAGGCAAGAGCCTCCATCCTCTTGCCACGCATTTAAAAAAAAGAAAATCTCTGAATGCAAAACATAAGAGCAATATGTATTTTGGCAAATAAATGAGCTCTTTCCAAGAAGATCTTCAGAAATCCCTCTGCCAGGTACCTGGCTGGTTTCTGTTCTCAGACACACTTTACCACTGCCACCCTGACCCTCAGATGAAATGAATGAGTGCCCGAATCACAGCTGTTTCCCACTGTTACTTTCCCTTAGGGAGTATACTTCTTTATTCTTTACCCACTTTTAAATAATACAAGCTCAGTTTAAACATACAACTAAAGTTTATGCTAGCGCGAAGGAACTCCTAGGACAAAGTAGAAATGAGCTGTGTTCACAAAACCTGTGGAATCTTTGATCTATACTCCATCTCTTAAAAGAGATGATTTTAAAACTCCATCCTCTCATTGTTTTGATGAAGCACATAAATACATAAATACATTGTTTTGATGAAACACATAGCTCAAGTCCTGCCTATTCCACTTTCTAGGTATATAGTTTGGAGGATGTAAGCAGTCATTTCTTTGCTTAAGGTTGCTCATTTGACAGATAGGAATAATAATGGCAATTAATCTCATTAACTGGTTTAAAGAGTTAAAAATAAACTGTAATATCCGAAGTAATATTGGTATTATTTACTTATTCTTAATGGGCTGCTTCCCTTCTCTTCCTCTATTCCCTTCAGCTTCCTTGTCCATTGATTTAATTTCATTTAACTCTTCACTACTCAGCCTTTTATTCACCACCAATATGAATTATAATACTTTCCTTTGGAATTATTGAATCCCATTGCCACAGGAAAATGATTTTTATCTGTCAGAGGGAAAGCCTACATAATAAGCTTCCATTTTTTAAAAATTCCTATTCTTAATGTATATTTTATACACAAATCTCTTGTTTCTTGTTCATAATTATGATCACCTTTCCCAGAGTTATCCATTTATTTCATTCTCAAAGTCATGGTAGAGAGATGTTTGAACAGTAGTATTCATTCTTTGACATATGCTAGGTTCATCATCCAAGCTGTTTAGTGTAAAACTCAAGTTCTATAGCTCCCTTTCTGTAGGCATTTGGATTTTTAGGGAACAAATGAAATCTTGATTTTTCTTTGTTACAAATCTGGTTATATTGTTGTGTATGTTGTGCTTATAATATGTGACTCTTCCCTATAGCAAGTAGATTTCAATGTTTAACTAATCTAAAATATTATGCCTCTGCTCATTATTTTCTGTTTTTTATCTTACTGCTATAGGAATGATTATGTTGAAGATCTAAAATCTGAATTGCATCTGGAGCTTATATAGAGAGAAGGGAATAAAGTTTATATTAAGTAAAATGGGAGAAATCAAGTTTCCTTGGGTATCCATACATCATTGACATTCCTTTCTTCCTCTAGAAGACTGGTTCCTCATGTTGCTCTCTGATTTTTCTGAATTTTACCACTGGTGCATCTTCTTCAAAGTTACCTTTCATTTTCTTCCTCCTTCTTTTACCTTCTTATGCAGGGCCTATTAAAACTATTATTCCTTTATTTACTATAGTGTACATAATCACTCTCTTACACTTAATTTTTCCTCAGCATTTTTTGCCTCTTAATTCAAATAAATGCTGGAATTTTGTCAAAATAAGAAAGTGTTCAGAGAAGGCTGTCTTCTTTTTAAATCATAATGTATAGTCACCTGCTTCTACATAAGAGTAGCCTTGATGGACAGGAAGTAGTGTATGTAATATGAATCACCTCATTACCTCTGGGAAAATGAGAGCAGTAACTAGGCAGAGAATGTAGGCATTTGGGCTTTCTTTACAAATAGTCACTTTTTTTGTTTTGTTTTGTTTTTTGGTACTGAGGATTGAATTCAGGGGTGCTCGACCACTGAGCCACATCCCCAGCCCTATTTCATGTTTTATTTAGAGACAGGGTCTCACTGAGTTGCTTAGTGACTCACCATTGCTGAGACTGGCTTTGAACTCGAAATCCTTCTGCCTCGGCCCCTGAGCCTCTGGGATTACAGGCATGCGCCACTGGACCCAGCCACAAATAGTCACTTTTAAAGGAGAAAAAAAAAAAACCTTAGAAAATATTTAGTCCAGTGATTTTTAGCCATTATTTATCACAACATTTTCCAATTAGTAAGAGTGGATAGATAGATCATTCTACCATTTGTAAAAGTGGCTTTTGTTAGGGTTCTCAACCTTTGAGGGGAAAAGAAAGTATTCTACCTAGCATTCATTAGGACAAATAAACAAGGGTTTGAGTTAATTTTGAAAGAAATTGAGAATATTTTAATGAGTGGTCTCTTGGGTAAGGTATTCCATTATTAAGAAAGCAACAGAACAGATACTCAGATGACTTCTGATGGAAATTGTTGTCTCTTCTACCCTCATCTTTGCTCTCAATCCCATATATCCAATCCTGGACTGCCTCTGATTAGTCCATACTAGGCCAGTCTCATCCTCTAGGTAACCAACAGGGGAAAGACAAGTGGAGCTCAGTGGCCTGGATTTTCTCATTTGTCTCCTGCATCCTCTCCTTTCTTCCCAGGAGTAACAAATCCAGAGAGCATCACACCAAGCTTACAGCAGTCCTACTCTATTCAGTTCATTTGAGTTCTATTAAATAACAATTCTGTACTCTGTTCATTTGGACCTAGTTCACAAAAATGGAAATTGCCCACTTTCCTGGCAAATACAGATGTGCTCAACTTGCTTTTTGGAAATTTTCTTACTCTGATATACAGAGGAAGAAGTTAATCAAGGAATTAAAGCTCTAGAATATAAAAGTCAGGCATGGAAGAGATAGTGTTTCTAGAATCCATCTGTTTTTGTGCACCTCATACTGCTTTTCTTTCTCATTCTCTGGCATATAAGAGAAACAAGCCATCTGAGCTGGAAGGATTTGTGTTTTGTGTTTTGTTTTGTAGTATTGGAGACTGAACAGTCTCATGCATGGTAGGCAAGTGCTTTACCACTGAACTTCATCCCCTGTCCCGTAAGCTTGTTGTTTTTTTTTTTTATTCACATTTGAATTAGATGGGGTATAATTTCTCATTTTTCTGAGTGTACAGGTTGCAGAATCACATTGGTCATACAGTCATGTAAATATATACAGCAGTAATAATGTCTATTTTATTCTGCTGTCCTTCCTATCCCCACTTCCTCCCCCCCCCATCATTTCTCTCTACCCAATCTAATGTGACACATTTCTTTTTTTTTCTCCCCTCACATTGTAATACATGTATTCTGTATAACGATGAGGGTCTCCTTCCTTCTTCCATGCAATTCCCCTTCTCCCTCCTTTTCCCTCCCACCTCTCTTCCCTATTTAGTGGTAATCTTCTCATGCTCTTCCTCCCTACCCCATTTTGAATCACGCCCCCCTTTATATCAGAGAAGACATTCGGCCTTTGTTTTTTAGGGATTGGCTAACTTCACTTAGCATAATCTGCTCTAATGCCATCCATTTCTCTGCAAATGCCATGGTCTTGTTATTGTTTAGTGCTGAGTAATATTCCATTGTGTATAAATGCCACATTTTTTTAATCCATTCATCCATTGAAGGACATCTAGGTTGGTTCCACAGTCTAGCTATTGTGAAATGTGCTGCTATAAACATTGATGTGGCTGTGTCCCTATAGTATGCTGTTTTTAGGTCTTTTGGGTGTAGTCCAAGAAGGGGAATAATTGGGTCAAATGGTGGTTCCATTCCAAGCTTTCCAAGAAATCTCCATACTGCTTTCCAAATTGGCTACACCAATTTGCAGTCCCACCAGC